ACTGCTACTGCTACTACAACTACTGCGAGGACCAGTGCAGCAGAAGCCGCAGAGGAGGCAGCTCTTGATGGGCAAAATTAGCAACCTTTCCACGGTCTCGGTTTCATTTGCAGGGAAGTGTAGTTGGCCGGTGGAACTAGTCGTAGCAGCAAGCAGCAGCAGGAGGAGGAGCAGCAGGAGCAGGAGCAGGGGCAGCAGGAGCAGGAGAAGGAGGAGCAGTAGTAGCAGCAACAGCAATTGCGGTCTGTACTAAGACCACCATGGCGACGTCAGCTGCTATATGCTGCTGTTAAACTGGATGCCATAGCAGGTGCGACTCCATTGTGATTTGGGCATGCGCTTGAAACATATGACGCCACATTTGTAGCAGAATCGCGAGCAGGCGCAGCAGCACTGTGCATCTTTCCGATCGACATGCATAACATGATTACAACACTGGACAGTCTGGATCCGGAGACGGTATCGCCCATCAAGGACTATACTGTACTATACTATACCCATACTATACTATAATACACCCATAATACAGTATAATATACTATCATATACGATAATATACCCATAATTTACTATAGTATACCCCATACTATACTATAATATACTATACTGTAATATAATATCATATACCCATAATACACTAGAATATACCCATAATATACTATAATATAGGAGAACCTACTATATCATACTATAACACTTGGGGCTGGAATGTCCAGGCGGCCGGATATCGTACGCCGAGGTCTTGTTCACTTTCCAGCCTTGAGGGTTTAGGGGGGTTTAGTCGGGTTTAGGGGGGTTTAGGGTTTACGGTCTAGGGTTCAGGATTTGGCTGCGGTCTTGGGTTTAGGAAGGTTTAGGGTTTTTGGGGGGTTCTGGGTATAGGGTTTGATGGGGGAGTGCGTATGTCAAACCGTCTAAGGTCAGCGCTTCAGGAACACCTACTGCAGGAGTCGCTTTGATCAGAATGTGGTGTTGGAATACATTCTACATGCGAGGACCATCATATAAGTGAATAGTATCGCCAGTATCGTTTAGGAGTACCCCCACCCTGCAATAGCGGTATGATAGGAATATACTAAGACCCGAATATAGTCCTTATTATCCCTTATAGTCACTATTACAGGGTGGGGGGTTCCTCCTAAAGTATCGTGTTTATGCCCGCATTACTTCAGCAAACTGAGATCTGAGTTCCGCACTGAACTTGTCACCAGGTTTGGGATCCGGGTTGCAGGCTTTGGCAACGTTCATGCCCTGCGCTGGCTCACATAACAATAGGTATAAGCGTTTAGCGTTTAGGACTTAGGGTTAGGGTTTAGGATTTAGGGTTGAGGATTTAGGATTTAGGGGTCAGGGATATCAAGAATATCATGAACAACTGCCTTGTGACAACAATAACAATGATAGTAAGGGCAGTAGTGCTGACAATACGCTGATAAACGTATTGCTGACATGAATACCAACAACAATACGCAATAGCAATACTAATGATAGTGGCCACATTAGGACATTACTAACAATAATACACGAATAGTAACGATGACAACAATTACAAGAATGTTTCCGCGAGCAGCCTGGGCGAACCGACCGGTTTTGCAGGCCCTAAACTCTAACAGAAGTAAGCCACGCCAGACTTGCCCAAAACTTGTCAGCCTCGTTTACTGGATTGCTGCAAAGGAACTTAAGCTAAGGTAGCATAACAAACATAACATGATATATTGGAGTATGCGAGAATATATGGCAATATGCTATAATATACCATAATGTCTTGTAGTGTACTTAAATATAATATAGTGCCGCCTTGTAGAAAAACTGAACCGGCAAGAGCGGAACCTCATATCGCACTTTCATCATATTTTACGTACATGGTATTTTGACGTCCGCCCATATGGTTAATGGTAAACATTACGGGTTCCTTAATTTGGCAACTTGAGTTCAATAACAGCAACCCAGTTTAGCAAAACGCCACAACTTCGTGCTCTTGGTTCGCTGTGCCAGGCCTTCAGAGGCTCATCCAGGCTAGAGCACGTCAAAGGTGTCGTGCAGCTGATACCTTGGGCAGTCGTCTGCTGCTTTGAGTCTCCTCTGGTCTCCCTTGTTGGGACGATTAGACCCGGCCCTAAACCCCAAGCCCTATCAATATATAGTAGTTTCCATTTTCTTTTCCATTAAAATTACTAACCATGACAGGTTTCCCCGGTAGCTAGCACCTACATGAAACCTGCGCAAAGGGCACAGTCTGAAGCAAGGCTTTCCCCTACAGCCGGGTTCTGAAGGACTTATAGAAAAGAAAATGGAAACTACTATGTAGTGCATTGGGGTTGTAGGTATTAGGGGAGAAAGGCAGAGCCTGGATAGTATACTATAGTAGTTTTGGTATGTCAGCACACAGCATGGAAGAGGTAGGTGCAGCAATCGCTGCTTCTTGTGCCTGGGGGCGCCACACTCGTAGGACTCAAGAAGATTAAATACGTACCGATCTTCTCCTGTTCTAGTCCTCACATGCGCGTACCCTATACCATTAAGATCTAAACCCTTAACCCTCAAACTCTAAATCCTTAAACCAAAAACCAATCTAATATATTACAATATTCCCCCAAGCCTCGGCTCTAACAAAATGAGCCCCCGAAAAGTGCGGGGAAAGTAAGGACTGAAGTGCTTGCAAGATAAGGTACAGTCTTAATACCCCAACCCCCTAAGAGCTGCGGGCTGTCCAACAATTGGTGGTGCCTTTTGGGGTCCTTGTACATAAACATCAGAATAAGTCTGGCATCTATAAGGGGCACCCTCTCATTATTTCTACCTCTATCATAGTAAAATCCCAACGACCAGGAAACAAGAAACACTTTCCCTGTCTGCACTGCCTTTACTTTTGAATAATGCCCTAAGCAGGAACCAGCCGAGGTCAAGACAATGGCCGCTGGAAGTCATGAGCCTGATGCCGCCAATTTCGCCCACATCTGTCTTGGAGTTGACGAAAGTTTCCTCAGGTTTAGGGGTGTAGGGTGTAGGTTTCACGTTTTGGGGTTAGGGTTTCGCGCTGCCGCGACTTTGGGGAATTTACGCTAGAACCTACCCTGAACCTGCACTGACCCTAAACTTACCCGTGGTTAGCTGAGAATGAAGGAATGGAAAAGACAATGGAAACTGCTATAGTGGGCTCAGGGTTTAGGATTTGGAAAGAAGGCCAAAGAAAATGGAAACTACTATAATGGGTTATATAGGGACTACGGTAGGGATCCATTCATTCATTCATTCATTCATAGCAAACTTGTAGGTAAGTAAGCCTGGAAGACCTACACGTACTTGAAGAGGAGTTTGGAAGTCGGCATCTGCACGAACACCTACATATGACCTCTATGTCCCCTGCAAAATGGTACCTATCCTAACGCCTCTGCTCCCTCCTAAGCACCAGTAGGTCCAACCCCCCTAAACCGCAAACCCCAACCCTACATAACCCCTTTGTAGTAGTTTCCATTTTCTTTTCCATCATTCCTATATAACCCCGAAAATGGGCCCCTAACATACTATAATATTACTAGAATATACTATAATATCACTATAATATACGATGATATTACTATAATATACTACATATTACCATAATATACTAGAAAATACTGACACTAAAACCAACAAATCTCAACCCAGCGGCTGCTTTCAGCTTAATTGTCAGGTTGCCCAAAGGCAATCCTGACTCTGAGCTGGCAAATGCCATCTGTCGAAGGTTCTTCGTCCATAGCCTAGGGTTCTGATCTGTTTAGGGTTTAGGGTTTGGAGTTTAGGGTATATAGGGCTGGGCTATATAAGGGTTGTATCCGGGTGTTCTAGGGGACGATATAGGGACTACCAGGGGGCTATATGGGGCTTCCATGGAGGTTATACGAGGATGATGTAGGGTTCTTGGGCATCTATAGGCGTTATATAGGGATTGTTTAAGCTTATTTGGCCACCATACTATGCGGTTCAGAGATTATTCCATACTGCAAACTCAGAATGGAAACGAACGTTGAAGGTTAAAGTAAAGGATTCCTATAAAGGAAAGTAGATGCGTAAGCAATTTCCATTATTACCTTGAGGTCTAGCCTATACCATATCCATGCATGGAATCTAGGACCGAACTATTGGTGCCTTTTAGGCTCAGTTACTCAACTCATTTCCCGAGTACAAAAACCACCGAACCCCGTGATTGATACTCCTCAATGTGACCGTATGTAAAAATACTGCCAGAATGGGGGAATATACAACATAGGGATTTGGGGAGGAGCTTGCTCACATGTAACAGAAAGGAGTGCCGGGCTGCATATAGTCACATTTTCTTTGACATGGCTTGCCCGCAAGCAACAAGAAAATCTGCTTTTGCGCAGCCCCGCACATCCTGCCTGTTCGTCATGGTGCCGCAGTCTTTGCCAGACGGATCAGTGCGTGTAGTCTATGTTGAGGTCCCCCACTTAGGGGTAGCCATACGTATGAGAGCTGCTCAAAATTGTGGATCTCTCCGACAGCTATAAGACCCTTGGAAACCCCAGTCCCGATTTTCTTTTCCGTTCAACTCTCCATTCCCTTGACCAAGGTCTGAATATGGTGGGGTTTTACACCCTAAACCCTAAACCACCAAACAAATCCAAACCCCAAACCCCAAAACCACCAAAACCCCAAAGACCCCAAAACCCCAAGTCCCCAAACCACCTGGGTCCTAGAAATTGCCACCCAGTAGCTTGTTGCCAAAGGCTGTGCCAAAGTGCAGCAAGCCAAGGATAGCTACCTTGAAGACTGCAAAAGGATTTAGGGTTTAGGGTTTAGAATTGTCGGTTTTGGGTTTGGGGTTTGGGGTTCAGGGTTTTGATTTAGGGTTTGGGGTCTTGGTTTGCAGTTTAAGGTGAAATTGCCATTCCAATTCACATACTACCTGAATTTTCCATTCTTAATCTATATGGGGTTCAGATACCCACAAACATGAAAAGCTGTTTAACAACAGCTCAGCTGCATTGAGAGTCCACATCCCGTGAAATGGCCTTGGCGCACTTGTCGCCAACCTGCAGCCGGCTTCGCCATTGGCGGGCTTCCAAAAAGTAGAGGTCATGTTTGGGGAGTCCTATACGCACACAACTCCGGCGGGCCTGGGCACGGCGCAAGCAGTGCCGCAGACAGTGGTCCGATTTGGGGAGTCCTATAATAGGGATTTCGGGGTCGTACATAGGCTTGGTTCCATTGGCCACTGCAAGAAAATCTACAAGTAGAATGTCCTTCATGGCAGGTAATGGGGCTGCCATGCTCTAGACTCATGATTTCTGCCATGCCTAGGACTCATGGTTGTGTCAACTATTGCAACTACTTACTGGTGGTTAGTAGGGAATAAGGGAATAGAACCTCCATAGAATCCCTATATAATGTGCTCCCTTGTTCCTCAACCCCCAATAAGACTAGTCTTGATGCCTCATAGTTGCAAAAAGAGTCAGGGGAACTTAGTAAGCAGATCAATAACCCCTATAACCAACATAATAAACCTAGTTATCCCCCTTATTACCTTACTTATTGATTCCACCTGACCCTGGACCCTAAACCTAAACCCTTAATACTATAGTAGTTTCCATTTCCTTTTTCAGTACTACTATTTGGGTTATATACATATATTTAGGTTAATGAACCCGCACGAGGGCAAGGTCTTTGAACATGCAGCTTCCATGCATGGGTTCCCTCAAGGCTTCCTTATATTAGGGTTTAGGGAATAGGGTTTGGGGTTTGCCTGAGCCCTAAAGTAGGACCCTATTATAACCACATGATAGTTGTACGGTCCTTACTGTAGGGCCAACTGAAATCCCCTTGTTATTATGAAGAAGCTTCTCAAAAAATCACTGGAATCTCAAGAGGCTCCAGAGGGTTTACTGGGTTGCTGTTAAGGAACTTAAACTAAGTTACCATAATGGGTAATATGGGTGTATTCCCTGACCAGGGGATACTGGGCTTGCTGGTCATCACACAAATACGTTCTAGCGCATACAGCCCTGCTGATAATGGGTAATATAGTAAATAATAAGGTTTCCCAAATACAGTAACTTAATTTAAGTTCCCTAAATCCCTATATTCCCCCCAGTTT